ATAGACTAACTTGAAATAATGGTATGCAGTGCTAGAACTTCAGTTGGCTATAAATTTCAATGCTTTATAATGAGTAAATTTTTTAAGTATCTTCTGCGTTCCTACCTATCTTTTGGTTTGAAAATGTCTTTAAAATCAAGCTCTTAAAATTTTGCTTCATCGCATGAAAATAATTAAATGCATTTAAACGGTTCTCCAAGTAAGTACAAATGTGAACCTTGTTGTGTAAGAGAGAGCAGAGGCTGAGGTTTCTGCAGAATGGTGTTTACATTAAATAAGTCTGGTGAAGGAAAGTTCTTTTTTGATGAATGTGTCGTAACTTCATTTTGCCATTAAGTCTTGTTCCACAGACTGTCAGACTAGATTAAAATCCTGGGTTTGTTTTCATGGCTGTGAACGGCGTTTCTGGCCATCATGCAGAAGACCTCCGATTCTCTATTGCAAAAAAACATACCTTGCTCTTCAGCAAGACCTCCTTTCCTTGCTGTGCCTTCCACGGAATTGTATGAATAGGAAAAAAGCTGTGATGGGTAGTTTTGTGGAAGAGATGTTAAAAAGGGATCTGCTTATTCTGTTTTAAAGGTAAAAGCAGTCTGTTCCTTCTGCAAGTATTTGTTTATTTGCCACAAATAATTGACACAATTTTAAGATTTCTCTAATTGACAAAAATTCTAGTAATGTGGTTCCATGTGGAAATTTAGTCAAGAAATAAAGTTATATTAAACAATTGCAATCAAAAATAGATTACAAGTATTTTGCAGAAAACAGTAAATTCTACAGATGGAATAAGCGTTGCAAATACATAAACGTTGAAGAGACTTTTAAAAGAGTTAAGGATTATTAACTTCATCACTTAAAACTAGCACTGGAAAGGTCGTATTTGGTATGGTAGTGCTTTTTCAGAGTTTACAGAGCTTCAGAAGCACTTTGGGTCATGCTCTTGCAGGCAAGCCACCCCCTTCATTCTTTTCACAGCTCAGTTGTTTAGTTTTGAGAACTGTAGCTCATCTTTGCCACTGCGCAGAGATATAGAAAGCTTTAAGAAAACTTTTGTAATTCGTATTTCCCTTGAGATATATACTAAAATGACAAATGAATAGAAGTTAATGAAACTTGAAGTGAAATTTCAATGTGTAAAACTCAAGCACTATACCTTAAAGCGTCGAGGCAAATTTTATTCCATCCTTTTAATGATGCCAGTTGCAGCTGACTTTGCCTGTGCTTAAACACGAATTTTAAACATGGGATTTTCTTCCTTTTATTCTGTTTTTACTGTGGTGTTCTGATGAAGCAGAATCCGAAATGTGATGCTGGGCACTTTTTCTGTATCAGTGTATATTCATCGTTCGTTTACTTTTCTGTTAACTGTGACTTTAGACCTGAAAAGAAGATGGTGAGGAGAGCTTCTAAGGGGTTGCAACATAACTTCAGGTTTTTTTCATTTGCTAAAAAGTTTAAATATAGCTTAATTTTGAAATTTACCTTAATGTAAAGCCAGGTGTAGCCAAATAATATTTCAAGTATTGTGAACATATAGAATACAAGCAGAAACACCGACGACTTTCATCTCTCTGTCCTTCAAACCTCTATCTATTTAGGACTTTAATCTGCCGTTAATGATCAGAAACAAAAATCTCCTTAGAAATGTCTCTTAACTTGAGTATATTGAGAGCACCAAGCAATACTTAGCACCTAGTTGACGTTGCATTTTGGAACTGAAGGGAGTGTTATGAACCCATTAGCGTGGGATTGCTTTTCTGGAGGCGTACGCTTGCCAACAAGCGACAGAACTTCAGGAGGTTAGTTGGGTCATATATCAATGTGCAGATTTCTCTTGGACGTAATTACCTCATTCTCCTTGGTGGAAGATTCAACTTACCAGTATTTTGGCCATATCCTTCTTTTCCAAACTATTGAGGAAAGGTGTAGTAATGGCAGATGCCAGCAACAGAAGGGTGGAGTGGTGGAAAATAAAAAATGAGAACTACACTAAACTTTGAGAGAAAATGTACCAAACTTCAACTGATTTAAGAAATGATGATAAATACATGGTTTTATGTAGGTTTTTTAATGTATGAGGTGTTTTTTTAAATAAGTTACCCTGACAGGTAACATGCAGATAACTCATGTGAGTTTAAAAGCTGACTTCATGGTCAGTATTTTTATTCAGCTTCGTTGTGACTTAAGGACAGTGGATCAAAACCACAGTGATAAAGGATTATTAATGTGACATGAAATTTTTGCTAGGGCGGCTGTAATTATAGTGCTTTTTATTATAAGAACTCCTTCAAGCTGCTTAACAGTGAACGGCATTAGTTCCCTTGCCCTTGACATGGCAGTAATTGCCTTGCAATTGTGTTGGTGAAGGGACCGGTGGTTTATTACAAAATCTGACTATATAATTACATTCGAAGAAAAATACTTTTTGGCTGGTGTGAAGTTTTGTAGGGCTAAGAGTACTTCAGATTCTCCTAGTTGGTTATACTATACTTATGTTTTGTATTCAAATGACTTACAGGTTTTTGTCCTGTGCACCTTGAATCTCGCAAACTAGAAGATTGAAAAGTAAACTTCCTCTGTCATATTTAACGCAGTGTCTTATAATTAATTTTGAATTTAGGCATTAATAAAAAAGGGAATGAGAATTTGGGGGTCTTTTTAAAGTGGCGATTATTCCTTACTGTATGTATATTGTTATTCTGTTTAATCATAGAATCACAGGATGGTTTGGGTGGGAAGGGACCTTTCAAGGCCATCTAGTCCAACCCCCTGCAGTGAGCAGGGACACCTGCAACCAGAGCAGGGTGCTCAGAGCCCCGTGCAACGTGACCTGGAATGTTTCCAGGGATGGGGCATCCACCATCTCTCTGGGCAACCTGGGCCAGGGTTTCACCACCCTCAGTGTGAAACATTTCTTCCTTGTATCTAGTCTAAGATACTTCCTTGATGGAAAGATATTTCCAAATACTCCTTCTGCCATAGCAACCATAGTTTCTATAATACAGAAAACAAGCAAGCAGGCAAGCAAAACAAAAAAGAAAGGGGCTTAGTTGTTGTATCTGAAAGATACGCGGCCGACGCCCCCGCAGCCCGCCCAGCCTGTCCTCCCCGCAGAGGGGTTCCAGCCCTCGGAGCGTTGCTGGGGCCTCCTCTGGCCCCGCTCCAGCAGGTCCATGTCTCTCCCGTGCCGAGGGCTCCAGAGCTATAATTCAAAATTTGAACTACTAAATGAGTAATTTGATAAAATGCTCATAAAATTTCAAGATAGCTTAAAAAAATCAGGTGCTAAGCAGGCATTTGGGGAGGACATAATCCGGTGTGATTGGGAGGGGCTGCTTCTTTTCGCCTGGGAATGGATCAGGAGCCCAGATGTGATAAGGGTAGATGCCCAGGGACACTGAAGTTGTCACTTACCACCATAGCTGGGGGGGGGGGCGGGGGGGCAAGTTTTCTCCTTTCCCCTGACTTTTTCCCTGGGAATGCTGAATCTGCAGCATCTGCTTCAGCTTTGGTGCTTCTCTTCTTCCCCCCCCCGCAGTGTAATATCCTCATGAGTGGTGGCAAGGAAATGAGGGTTCATGGACTTGCTGGAGATGGCTGAGGGGAGGCGTCAAATCCTCCCCTGCTGCCCCTTCTCCCTTCCAGTGTTCCATTTAACTGGTATTTGGGCACAAAGCTGGTTAACTTAGTTCACCAACACTGTTGTAGTTAGGAACAGGAATTTCAAATGTGGTAGTTTAGTATTGGGGCACTTTTTTTTTAATGCTGTAAGGTTTAAGTATGGAAATTAATCTGCTTGCGTTTCAGGCTTAAACATCAAAGTTTAAACAGTATGATAATGCGAGGTTTAACGAGCAGCTTTCAGGTGCAACCTTAATACTGGAGCTGTACATGCACCATATACATGCACCTACACAAAGGGGAGGGTCCTCTCACATGCCTTCTTACTACAGTTAGTGAGCAAAGAAGTGAGAGTTGGTGTGCAATGATGAGCTATTTATGTTTTTGTACCTAATAAATTTTTGTGGGTCTGATGAGTAAAGTTTTGGTGCTTTGTTACATGTGTATTTTCGAGGCAGTTGTGCCACAACAACAAACTTGCTTACCGAAGAGGAATCAATTGGTCTGTTTTTTTGACGGTATCGGTAGTGATTTTTCACTTCAAACTTTGATGTCTTTTTAACTAGATTTTTAACTTCAAATTATTGCAAACAGCTTGTACTTTCACACCTTTACATCTTATATGCAAACTCTTCAGAAAGGAATTTCAGAGCAGTTTTAAGTACTTCCAAGTGGAGTGCTTTTTTGAGTTGTTTCATCTTCTATAGGAATGCAAAAATACGAGGCTGGGTTTAATAATACCTTAAAATTTAAATTGAAATTGCTGTTGATCCTGTCTTTTTTCCCAAGAAGCTTATTATTTGCTCTGATGTTGTCTACCCACAATAATGAGTAATGATGATGATCTCCACTGGACTCTTAATCTGGAGGTTCTAGTTTAAGTAGTATTAGGTTTTGTTACAGTGTTTTGCCTAAAATATGCTGAGTTTATTAAAAAAAGAATACATGAGAAAAATGCTGCATGATGGACCAGGTGGGTTTTGTTAAAAAGGCAACATACACGTGCCTTTTCCTCTCTTAATGTGTTGGCATTATCGAGATGGCTGCGTGAATCCTTCAGCTGGTATCTGCTCTGTGTTTAAGGTTCTCCCCATCAAACATATGCTTTTGTTTTACCTCTCCTAATTTCCTGTATTCCTATGACTTAATTTTCTTGTATTTCCAGTAATCTTTCAATTCCCACTGGGGAACACTGCTGTGTTACTCCTGAAATTTTCATTTTGAGAAACTGAGTAGCTAGACCTGTCATCCCATTGTATGGGGGTGAATTGTTTTTCCTTCTTCTTTCTACCTCTGTGTCAGATGCTGTCTTTTCCTCTAAAGGAGTTTTGTTCATTAAAATGTCAACAGACCTAATATTTTTTGCCTTTTCTCTCTAGCTGGCCTGTGGACAGTCTTCACGTTAGGTGGGGTGGGGAGTAAACCAACGCCGCAGCTGGAGCAGTGCTCCCCTCTAGCTAACCAGAGTCTACTGCTTCTGCTGATCTTGGCCAATCTGACCGATGCTCCAGATACGCCGAATCCCTACAGGCAAGCTATTATGTCCTTCAAGAACACGCAAGGTCTGTATCTGTTCTTACTTCTAAGTATGCACTGATGAAAATGAAGCATTAAGTTGCTGCGACTGCTTAGAAGTTGACTTTCCCAAACTTGTTTTCCCTCCAGCCAGCCTGTAGAAGAGCAATAATAGCACATTGTCTTCTGGGAGTCTTGAGGTGTTCCTCAGCTGCTGGAGCGTAATTAACTTTAAGGGGCAGGGGGAGAAGGATACTCTTTCCTTCAGATTAGATAAATTTTAGAAAGCTTCGTAATTTCATAAAATATAAATAACTGACCTACTTAGAGGTCGGTTTTATCCAAGAGTCTGCTGGAGTTCCCTCAAACTTTGTAGCACTTGAGAAATCCTGTTTAGCTGGAGTCATCTTTCTTAGAGCTCAGAGAAGCACCTGAATTGCTAACTGGGTTGATCTGCTAACTGGATTCTTATATTGCAAGTGTGAGGAGAAACTGGTTAATGTAAACACTTTCATGAGACTTGCATATATGGGAAGCTGCAGACTTGTTTCAGTTCTTGCTTGGTTTTTGAGAAGGCTGGTTCCAGGCTGTATATCAGGTAACCGTAGGTGCAATGCTGTACCGACAGTGCCCTTCTGCAGAGGGTTTTGCTTGGGACACAGGAGTGCCCTAACACAGTTTGGGCTACTCAGATAGCTCGGCTTTGCAGGCAGTGTGCTTGCTGTCACATATACTTTATCCATACACTTAAATCTCTTCAAGTTTTAGCTGTTGACTTTCACCTTTCGCTAGCTTTACGCAGGTTGACAGCACACACAGGGCTGTTCAGTGGCGCTCAGCTGCTGCCTGACAACCTGTGAAGCCACATCAATACCCCTGGGTTATTCACTTTATTTGGAGGGAGGTTTTATATTCCTTTAACCATTAAGTTTTTGGCAGGTTGAACTCTTAAATTCATTCACCTTTACCCAGGACTTTTTTGTTATTAGGATAGAGGGTTGTTCTCAAGAATTCTTAGTTCTAATGTGCCCCTTTGATTTATTGGATACTGTTTCCTGGCAATTGAGATCAAATTCTTGATCAGTTTTGGGGTTTTTTTAAACTAACTGAGAACTTATGAATGCTCTGGTTTGGTTGATTTAATGTCATCAATAGCTAGTAATGTGTTTTGTTGAAAACTGTTATACATGTATCATCATAGAATTTTAAAAGAACCTATTCTCTGTCAAAAGTAGTATGAAAAGCAATATCTTCTCTGGTTGGGTACATTTATGGAATGACTTATTGCTTCCTGTAAACTTGTTTCCACTGGCAATATTCATATAACTGAGCTTAAATTTGATTCCTGTGAACATTCTGAGGGGCTGCTAAAAGGAAAATGGTATGAAAAAGAAAGTCTGGTTGCTGTCATAATGATCTATAGTACGTAACTATAAAATGAAAACTGGCTTTTTTGTTCAAGTAATTTATATAATTGAATTAGGACAGAGCTAATCAAGTTCAGGATAGTTTTATTTATTCTACATGGGAACAGTTTACTATTTCTGTTGGCCAGTTGAACATTGTGTAGAATAACACAGAATATGCTGCTATTGCTGATAAGTTAGTTTCTTTAATACTATTTAGATTTTTTTACAGTTTTTAAAGTATCTTTTAATAAAACCGATAGTGAAGCGCTATAAATAGAAGCGGCACAGTTTAAGCATCCACGGAAGCAAAGCTTAAAAGTCAATAGACACTCCTCAGCTAAGGGACTGTGGCATCAGGTGGCTGCTTAACGGAGCATGTTGAACTGATCTGATTTTGCTGGCTACATCCAAATTTTCCCTAGTCAAGAGAAATACTCACCTGAAGCAGGGCGGTTTTAAACCGGTCAGTCCATAATCGCCATCAGTGTTTGAAGGGGACATGGGGGCAGAAACGGTAGTTCAGAAAAGCCAGGTTTCGGTCTCTCCTCCGCCAGTCGGCACGGCGTTTTGGGGAGAGGCAGGGTTCCCACCACCGGCGGGCTGCGTCTCTCCCCTGTGCGCGGCAGTGCCTCCCAACAGAAAGGAGAAGCGTTTGCTCAAGTGCCTCCTGCTGAGTCGAGCTGAATGGCTGGAGCCGTCGCCCCTCGCCCAGGCCAAGAGAAGCAGCAGCTCCCCGGCACGCCGTCTCCGCCGGGCCCCCAGAAACTCAGTGGGAGCCAGGGCTCCTGTGGGGCTCCTGCAGGTCTTCCAAGCACTTATTCCTTCCAAAGAGGATGGAAATGTTGTTCAAAATAAGTGACAACTACCACAGTTTTCCATGCTGAAAGCTATTCAGAAACATTGCTAAGAATATGGGCTAAAAAGAAAGGGGAAATCAAGACCCCCACATCTCAGTGGGTATAGGTGGTGTTTGTGTGATCGGTCCCTACCAGTATAGAGCTTTCTCCAGAAGAGTGGAAAAGTTTGGCAGGAAACCACCTCATTTAAGAGCCAAATTTGTGTTGGCTCACTGTTTCTGTCCATGGGCACACGCGTGGTGACACTGTTCTCGCCGTTTTCTGTGGTGATGATGCAGTCTATAATATCTGAGAAATCTTTCCTGATTTGAGGAAAAAGGAAGATTGGGATGAAGTGCAATAGTTGCTGCCTAGCCTGCTGACTATCGTAATACCACTTGCGTGTAAAAGGACTTGTAAAAAAGTAGGGTTTGAAGTTTGCATTGCTTTTTTCCTTTATTTTTCCAAGTCTCTGCTTCCTCTCTTTAAAATCCCTTCTCTCCACAAATCACTGCGCAGGAGTAGTAGTACTGTCACACGATTTTATACAGCAGAGCTTTCCTAAGTTAGTGCATTTTTAATACACAATAAACTCTTCAGAAATCTGTAGTCTGTTATTGTGGAACTAAGGAATTTTTAGTTAAACTCCTCAACTTTGGACATCTTGTTTATAGTAATATGGAAATTTTTAAGTCCAGACCTTTAGTATACTTGAGTATCCAAACTGCTGTCGTTCCCAGAATACCTTCTTGCCATGAAATTGCTGTTTTCCATATGCATAGCTTGTTTGTGTGCTCAGAAAGATAACCTTTGTATTCAGTTGCCAGGATGCTGAAATAAATCAGCTCAAAAAGGCAGACTCATCCTACTTCACGTGTCGTCACAGAAGATGCATGTTTTGGGTGGATGTTTTTGAACAGAGCTGAGCAGGAAAATACTTTATAGAAATTTTTGTGAAGCTTTTTGAGAGTTGAGAAACGTACCTGCTCTGCACTAGAACAAAACCTTGTACTCTCAAAGGGTTTTTTTTCTGAAGAAATCAAAGGCCAAATCTCTGACTTGGGGAGATCTGGAGGCTGAATAAGGACACGAATCTGGCTTTCTGACATGAGTATGAGTGCATCGACTGTCACACTTGCTTTTTCCATTTCCACTGGAAATTCCTAGATGTCAGAGATCTGTGCTGACGGACGGAGTTTTTTTTTTTAAATGGGTAAAGCTTCTTGTGAAAAGGTTCTGTGAGCAGAAATCTGTTTTATTCTCACTCCCAGCTCTGGCACAGATTATTTTGTGAACATGAACAAACTGCTGTTACTTTGAGTCATGTTAGACTATATGATGTGGTGGTTTGAAATCACTTGAGCCCACTAAACTCCCCACCACACGTGCATCTTTTAAAGTCCTGACAGCACCTGTGTTTCACTGAAAATACACTGATAGTCTTGACTCTGCCCTTCATGCCTGGAAGGGGATGGGAGATAACTCCACCTTGATGCCAGTGAACTAAACCTGGAAGTTTTGGTTGCGCAGGAATCAGTACATCGGTTCCAGCAAAGACAATGTAGGTACCCTCTTTTCAGCAGCTCCTGGGATTGCCTTCCTTTCATAGAATCATGGAATGGTTTGGGTTATTGTGATATTATTAGTTCCACAATAACAGATCATCTAGTTCCAACCCCCCTGCCATGGGCAGGGACACCTTCCACTAGACCATGCTGCCCCATCCAGCCTGGCCTTGAACGCTTCCAGGGATGGGGCATCCACAGCTTCTCTAGGCAGCCTGTTCCCCAGTGCCTCACCACCCTGATAGCGAAGAAGTTCTTCCTTTTATCTAACAGTGGAAGCCATTTGGATGAACAGGGTAGCTTTACAAAAAAAGATGAGTGTCTTGTGCAGATACAGGGGTCTTACTGGATCTCATGTGGCAGCGCAACCTCAGCTTTTTGGCACAACTGAAGCTTCATGAGACCCTGTTTAGGTTTATGACCATCGGTGAGAAGAGTCACGGGTTATTTTTGTTTCCTCCTTTCTGCGGTGTCTGTATAAAATGTTTCCCCTGGAGTTTTTTTATAGAGTTAACAAATAGCTGGATGGTAAATGTATTTGTTAAAGATCTTTTTTAATTTCTTTATTTCAGATAGCACTGCTTTTTCATCATCAAATCCCCATGCTTTCCAGATAAATTTTAACAGTTTATACACAGCTTTGTGTGACCAACAGAGATCTGATCAAGCAACTCTTCTTTTATACATGCTTCTGCATCAAAATGGCAACGTGCGGACGTACGTGTTGGCACGAACGGACATAGAAAATCTTGTGAGTATTGCTCTGCTTGCCTTATACTCGTTGTGAGGGGTTGGTCCTGGAAGCTTGGGTGTCATCAGCTGCCAGTGTCCCCTGTTCTGTGGTGGGGGCAGCAGGTTCTGGCTTATTTACCAATTCGAGCTCACTTACGCATATTTAGTATGTCCTCTCAGGGGTGTGATGTCACTGCAGTAGAAGATAGTACTACAGATAAAGCTACAGGCAGTCTTTGAGTCCCTCTTTCTCAGTGCCACTGTCTGATCCAGGTCAAACCTGCTGACCTCTGGGCATGGTGTAAAGAAACTGGTAGCAGATACCATACTATTCATTATTTTATTGTTCTTTTTTAGTTATTCAGGCCAAAAAGTTACACAATCTTACTGTGTGCATATAGGGATAATAGTTAACAAAATGAGCTGTAACTTGATTAATATGCCAGACGTTTTACGGGGTTGACCTGAGGCTGAAACTCCTCAAGGAGCAGCTGACAGATTTTATAGAAATGTAACTGTAGTGATTTTTTAGCCGCTTTAAATAGGATTGTGGTTAATAGGCAATATAACAGACACCTGGTACAGTTTTTGTAGGTTATAAATTAGCTTATGCTCTCCACGACATTTAGTAATGTCACAAACCACTTTAACAAATCTTACTTATTAAAAAGCATTCCTTTAATAAGATAATGGCTGTCTAGGGGAATTGGTAGCGGAAAAGAGAACCCTTTCCATTTTAATATTTGAAATCTCGCCAGATAATTAGATCCCTTGCCTGTTTGATGGCAGATACGGAATGAGTTTGGTCGTGGTCCAAGTTCTAGCAGATGTATTGCTAAAATCAGAGTTGATAGACACCACTGTTGGCAAACTTGGCTGAGATGGTTGATATTGAATTGATTCAAGACTGAACTCCTGTGTAGTCTGCTGCAGAGTATCTAGGTGAGGCCTGAGTCATTTTGCATGAATTCTGTGAAGAAATGGTCATATTTAATTTTCTGGGCAGGTACTATGGGATATGACGTGTTTCACAGCCGCTAACCACATCAGTTTACTTCATCTTTAGAGAAATAAAGGTTAGGTGTGTGCATTGCTTTATGATTATGATGTCTGATATATTGTAAAACTTCCAGAAGAAAGTGTGAGGTGCCTGTGTCAAAACAACTCCAGATGCCGGTACCCTGATGCTCTGCAATGTGGGATATTTTCATATATTATCACCTGTCTTTCCTCCCCCTCCAAAAAAAAAAAAAAGAATTCAGAAAATCCCTGAATCACAGAAGTAATCAGCACCATTAATCACTTTGTGGGAAAAGCTGAGAAAACTGAGAAAAGCATCACTGAAAAGTCAACAACATGTTTGATTTATTTTTTTTTAATACCAAAATTTGAAGCTGCCTGCTCTCCTTTTACTCTTCATGCCAACCGTTGCTTTTTGTGATCACGGCTGACATATCACTGACGTCTTTGCCCAATTCTCTTGTTTTTAGTGGGCTGGTAATCCGGGGTCGGTTACTGGACAAAATCACAGTCTCCTAATTACACCCCTGCGGTGAAAAAGGCTAATTCAGTCTTGGGCTTGTAATCGAGACGAAGGGGCAGGAGTAACGGAGCTGGGTATTTCCTTCCCTATATGGCAGCTGCGAGAGCGGTGCTAACGTGCTGCGTGCTGGTCTGGTGGCGAACTACCACGCTTCACAAAGCGTTTGCAGTCTGTGGGAAAATGGAGAGAGTGTAGAGAAATGCTTTGGGGTTTGTTGTTTTTTTTTTTCCTTTAAAATTAACAGCAAAACTGCAAGAGGCTTAGGAAGCTAACTTAGCCGGTCAGAAAAGAGCTTCAGAAGCATCGGGATGCGGATGTGCCTTCACGAGAGGAAAGCCTGGGACAGGACGGACTGTCTGTTCTCAGAGAGGTGGGATGAGAACTAAAGCCTGGAGCTTGAATCCCAAAACTTAGAGAGATGGGAGGACAAGAGTTAAGGGAGCTAATGCAGAGGCAGAACAGTGTGCTCTCTGGCTGTCTCTGAATGAGGGTGGGTGACTTTTTGAAGGACTGTGGCATAAGTTAGTGGCCTCTTCGTCCAGGGCCGTCGGGTGACGTATGAGAGTCTGTGCTGTACGAGAGACCAGGTCATCCTCAGCTGAGTGCTCATCGTAAACTTTTAGGGGGGTTGCAGGTTGTTCCTCTTCCGCTGCACTCAGTGCGTCCCATTTGCCGTGGTTTCCCCTATTTGAATATCTCCCAGTTTTGGGGCCCGGGACGCGTCACTGGCAGATGTTCTCTGACATGTCCTGGGGGCTTTTGAAATGTGTCTTTGCTCTTTTGTAACTTCAGTTTAATTTGTAAATGGATTCGGTGTGTTTTTGTTAACTGTTGTAATAGATAATGTCTCAGCTTGCTTCTTTGTTTGTGTATGAATCTACCTGTCAGTTATATATAAATACATATATATTTGCCTTCTCCTGTGCTTTATAATGCTCTATCATTAGTATGGCAGTGCATCTTTTTTGCTCTTATAATAACAGTCTGCTTGGTAGAATGAATAGGATGTTTGTGTATCTTCCATAGCGTTTCACTTGGTAAAATTTTATAAAATAATTGGGTTAAACATCTGGTGCCATTAGGGATGTTCACATCTGGAATTTGTCTATCTTACTGAAAGTACTTGCAAGGAACCTCCAGGAAGCGGTGGGACTGGCGAAATAGGGCTCAACTATTTCAGAAGCATAGTGTCGTGGTCTGCGGATAGGAGAATTTTGAACCTTTTTCTGTTTGAAAGAGCAGTTAACACCCGTATTGCAGGTAAAAATACCAGTGAGATATCTGCTTATAAGAAATAAGCTATTTCTGTTGAAGATGTTTGCTTTGGCTGCTGAGCTGACGTTTCGTTGCTGCTCAACATGACTGGACGGAAATAATGTATATGATGATGTATTTATATCAACTGATGGCACAGCAATATTTTTTCCTGTGGTATAAATTTGGCTTAAGCAGGTTACCTGTGTGGCTATGCGGTCTTGTATTTTGATGTATGCAAAGACAAGCTATTTTAAAACTCTTTGCTGGGGAAACTGTTCTTGACCTTGGGCTGAATATAACACCTGCAATTTTCAGTGTCTGTTTTTATCTGCCCCTTGTTTTTGGTATTAAAAGTAACTTTTTAATGGTGGCTGTGTCTTGCTGGTTAAAAACTTGCTCCTGACAGAGGAGTGTTAGTAGTAGTCCAGTAATGATAGTTTAATGACTATGAATAAAAGGGCCAGCAATACAAAAAGAAGTGGTGATTGTCTTCTCAGTATGTGGCTGGACAATGCCAGTGCGTAAGAAGATAAATGTAAGAGTTTTAATGTATGTGCATAACATAAAAGCATAAAAATGCATTTTGGTTACAATTCGAGATAAATTTTAAAATTTTAATTTAATCTTATTTTTTAGCTCTTTTTTAAGTGGTGGCTCATTGAATAGTTTTTCTTCTGAGAGCAGTGATCCTTGTCCTAAAGGTGTGTGTACCTCAGCAATCAGTATATAAAGGAAAAAGTGTTCAGAGGAGGGAAGGGTTATAGAATCTGTGTGAATCGATTCTTTTTTCATCGGGAAATGGCAGGTAGAGAGGTTAAGTTGCCGTTTGCCTCTGACTTTGGTCTGGTAGGTAGACTGAGAGTAGTCTGAAAGAGGAGTGGAAATGGGAAGAAGAGGTTTCCAAAGCTTTCAAGGTATGTTCGGGGCAGGAAGATTGAACGAAGCCATCTGGAGACACAAATCACTCTTCAGAGTGAGCGTGATTTGAGTAGCTACTCTGAAGTCTTAGTAAAAGAAGTTGTATGTATCAGCTCATATGGAACTGTCTATATCAACATCAGAATCAAGGTACCCTTTTTTAATGTAGTTTGTGGCAACACACTTTTGGGACTTGGAGCACCTAGTAAAAGTACTTGTATGTATCAGCTCATATGGAATTGTCTATAATGTCTCAACATCAGAATCAAGGTACCCTTTTTTAATGTAGTTTGTGGCAACACACTTTTGGGACTTGGAGCACCTAAGGAACATGAATGCAGTTTTTCAGGTATAGTTTTAGACCTTATATTAATGTGCATTAAACAAGCAACACACTTTTGGGACTTGGAGCGCCTAAGGAACATGAATGCATTTTTTCAGCTATGGTTTTAGACCTTATATTAATGTGCATTAAACAGAGGAGACATGTTGGGCTGTTCTGAAGGAATATGTTTCATCCAGAGTGGTTTGTATGGTATTGTTTAGCACTAACCAGACTGGATGACAGTTATATTGAAGGAGTGCAAGGCAACTACTGCATAAGGCAGAATATTCAATTTTGAGGAGCGTTAAAAATTGACACAGCTATTTGGGAGCTGTCTTAAAAACGCAGAAGCCATTCCACTGGTTACCTTCAGAGAGGCTTTTGTTGTTCTCCAGCAAAGTCGAGCTGTAAATACAATTAATTCTTTGATAGCTTTATATTGCTTCCTGCTATATGCAGCTTATTGTAAGGCTTGGACTTGGAAATGGCGTTGAGCTTATGCAGTGCAAAGCTAGATACAATATAAATATTTGAGATGGAAGTGATTCGAACAGTGGACTAATGCTGTGATGTTTGTCTCCCTTTTCCCCCATCCAAGGAAAAGGACTAATGTTTGCTGCTAAGTAGATATTCTAGGAAAACTGGGTCTTTAGTCTCAAGACCTATTTTCACAAAACACAAGGACATCGGCTCCAGTTTTAACTGAGGATGGAGGTTTGTGAAGGATCCTTTGAAATGGTAAAGGAAGGATGTTTGCTATGTGTAAATTTTTATTTTTTTTTTTCCTCCCCTGCTTTTATTGTGGTATTGTCTTGACCTTGGCCAAAGCATCCATCAAAAGGTTTTTTGGCCTGCAGCATTTAGATCAATGTCATTGGTTTCAATAGAAACTGCTGTGTGTTTTAATATATTCCAACTGTTTTGGGACTGGTTGATTGTAAGAGAACATTCTGGTAACTTCAGAGGCTTATGAAGCACTCGGTGTCCTGGCTGCTCACCAGAATAGGTTTCACATGATTCATCCTGCTGCACTCGGCCTGTTTTGAAAAACAGCAAGTCTTTAGGTGTCTAGAAACTTCTTGGAACATATTCTGCATCTCATCTGCTCTCTGGGAATTGAGAGATTTCTCCAGCTCCTTTTTCCAGGGTGCTTTGTGATTTAGGCCTATTTCTGCAGCCTGGGGAAGCCACGTTGTACTGAGCCAGTGGAAAGCTAATTTTCAGTTGGTAGAGAGACAACATTTGCATCTGGATTAACTTTAGACTAGCATTCAGGTATGCTTGCTGTTGCAATGAAATCTCATTTTCATTATTATTGCAAGACTTTGGCTTAAGCTGTTCATGCTGGTGGAAATGTTGCAAGACCTTGGGCTGAACTCTCATCGTAATGTCAGTTCTCTTTGGCTGCGTATTATCTAGAATTGGAAAAACAGGCCTTTTCTAGTCTTAACCCAACCCCAACTGGTTCTTTTCTGGGATCATCTCCACACACCGAAATGGGATTTGAGTTTCAGGTCTCAAAAAGCCTCTGTGCACCTCAGCTCCAATATGCCTGGCTATATTTGATGAGGACAGTCCTTTCAGACCAAGCTTGTGCTAGGAGAGACGGTTAGAGACACTTGTTTTCCTGCTTGAACATGTGAAAGTCTTGTTTAACAATTTTATTTTCCCATAGTCTAGAGGGGAACTAAGGCTTTCAGAGCCTATGGTAACTGGTATGGCTGGAAATCTCATTTATTAGGAATTGAAATTCCATGTCTGACCACAAGAAAGAATTTGTTTCGCCTCTTGTGGAGACAGAATGAAACAGATGGAAGGTGTTTGAACACTGTACGTCACTATTTAGGGGTGGTTATTTCAAGAGGGAGGAATTGCGATGATATTGTTAAGGGCAGGGTGATAGACGGGAGGTTTAGAGTCTCCTCTGTTTATTGTCTGAGGTATTTGAAGACTAACCTAATACACACGTTTTTCCTTCTCTAAAGGTTCTGCCAATTCTTGAAATTCTGTATCACGTTGAAGAAAGGAATTCACACCATGTTTATATGGCTCTTATCATTTTGCTGATCCTCACAGAGGACGATGGCTTCAACCGATCCATTCATGAAGTGGTGAGTTGTTGTTCTGGTAAATAATTCTTCAGCTCTAAAAATTGTTTTAAATATTTATTTTTATAAAGATACATCTGTAAATCTGTTTCTTCAGCAGAGGCTGTATGTGTTCATCCAAATGTGATGGCATATAGGTATTTCTTTCATAAGGACTAGTAACCTGAAGTTAGAAGAGTCATTTCAGAACTTTCCCAAGGGAAGTGAACAAACACGCTCCCTCTTGTAGAGGAGATGCTGCATATACCTCTTTTTCTGTCCTTTTTTTGGTGTTTCCTGTTGCAAATTAACATAGTAGCAGCTAGGCAGGCTTCCTCAAAGATACTGAGTGTTTGCCATAGAAGTGGAGGGGCTAGAAGAGGGAGAAAACCAGAAAACCTTTTTTTATTTCTCCTGAAAAATTTTGCTTAACCAGTTTGATGCAGCTGAGAGGAGCTTTTAGTTGGAGTCTTATTTTCCAGACTGAATATTACTTCCTTACTTGGCATTTCTTTCTCTGTCTTTCTGCTAGATTAATATCTATTTTATGTTGTCCCTATAATATGATCCAAATTTTGACTAGCTTTGATGGGCCTTGACCATCTGTGCTGGAGAGTATCTTGGATAATTATGTTCTAGTTTCCTAGCTTCTAAAGTTATGATAATGCAGAAGATATCTGCAGTGATTTTATTGATTTTTTTTTTTTTTTTTAATCATTATTTATTTATTTTTTTGACTGGGACATGGAAACTCTCTTTTGGGGTTAGGCAAAATTAATGAAATATAAAAAGCTGGAAGCAAGTGTCAAGGTATCTAAACAGAACTCTTCTCCCAAGTAAATTTTCAGCCTGTTTTGGAGGGAACTGGCATTTTTTCTTGGTGCCAAGTGGTAGAGACTTACAGTATTTACCGTCTAAAATTTCAGATTATTTCCTATAGCTCTGTATCTCGAAAGCAAGAAGAGGTGAAGTTTATATGTAGTTACCTGGGACTATCTTTTAGGAAGCAGCTTTTAGGAGAAGCATCTATAGTAACCATGCAGATGACTGAAGCAACATTTTCCTGAAGCTTTCTTCTGCCTCACCTTTGTGTGCCTTGAACTTATATGTACGCACCATACATGTGTACATGTGTGAGGTGTATTTTTGGGTTTGATATCACAAAGTCATTTAATTTCTCTCATAAATTGAGCTTGTTGAGGGTTAGAGTACAGCAGACAAGATTTCACTCAGCCTCAGTCTCTTCCTGTATCACCCTTCCCATATCATTTTAAAGGCTTTACACGTGGTCTTTCAATGAATTCCTTTCTGTGTAAATGGAATATTTCCCTAAAATTGGTAATGAGGATCCAGCTGTGGAATGAAAACATAAATGAAGTTTTCTTGTCCAGTTTATTCTTGCCTTTGCAGCTAGCCCTGCCAATATAGTTGTAGTGATTTCTATGCAACGTGCATATTAGTTTGCTACTTCCATTTTAATAAAAACAAAACCAAACCTCACCTTGTTCCTTTTACCCTGCACTGATTTTTTTTTCAGTCCTGCCTTTGCTTCTTCCATCCTCTTCTCAATTTAATCTTTGATTTTACTTAAAATTTTCACTAACTGCTTCTTTCTTCTACTCTGTGGCTGTGTTTTCCCACTCCATAGTTTCTGATGAGAAGCATACATTCATTAATAGCATTATGTGGCCAGAGTTTTGCTAGTTTTGCTTCTTAGCAAGGTGGTGAGAGGTGGCTGTTAAGTGCCTAAGCCTGCAGGTCTGTCTAGGTAAACTTCTGTCAGCCCTCCTGCAGAAAAACCTGTGGGAGTGGAAACTTTTACCATCAAAAGCCGATGAAGTGCTATGACACTGCACAGGACAGATGTGGAATAACCTTAATTCTTCCACCTGTGCTCCTCTTTTTGTTATTATTCTTTCTCTTACCCTTTTCTTCATTCTGTAATGGCTGGGGGAATGTTTCATGCCGAAGGAGAGAGCGAACTTGGAGGCTAAGCAGAATGCTTTTCTACCCATGCAGTGCTTTTCTTATGGAACTTGAAGGCTTTCGCTTGCCCCCTGCTTTTAATCTTGGTGTCACGTGGGTGGATTGGATGCAGTGAAGGAGCAAGAGGAGGTCTCCCCTTGTTCAAAACTTCAGCCGTGCACTCCAAAAGTCACCTAAATAAACTATGATATAGACAAGAGAGTTGATGATTGTGATACCAACTCTTAAGGAATCCTTTCTATAAGGAATACTTACCTATAGAAAAACCACATTCTGTTATACCTTAAAAAAAACATCAAGTTACCTTCTTGATCTACTTGATCTGTGGCATTAGAGGGTTGTGGATATCAAAATAAAAATGTTGAGCATTGCATCCTGTCTTGTGAACTGTTGGGAAATGGATATATGGGTGGTGGGTTCCTACAGGTCCCATGATGGGCGATAAGTGTAGTCAATGCCCCGCTTTGTGGAAAAAGGATTCAAAAGCATACTGATAAATCACTTCCCCTCACTCATCTTTTTGAATTATTTAAATGGATTTTTCCAGGCATGAATGATGAAGTTGCTACTCAAAAACTACAGTATAAAGTAAAGAAATTAGTCTTATGCTTTCTTAAATATTGACTCCACATCTCCTAAAGGCTGAGAGGGTATTATAGGGAGAAAAAAATTAAGAATGAAGTCAGGAAAGCTGTGTAAGGTGTGAACATCTAGTGTCAGTTACACAAGTGGAATGAAAGTCTTATTCACTGCAAGCATCTATCAAATTTTGGCAATTACAGCGGGATTATTTTTTTCCCCATCGCTTGGGTAAAATATGAAGAAAAAAAGGATTTGTTGTATTTTAGGTCAATCTGTTTTTCTCTCCGGCTGTGTAGTGTGTGTACTGTTCTTATAAGAAGCATGACTGTACAGTCCATTTATGGGCTATTTTCTTTTGTGGTATTTAACCCACATTTATTTATTGATTTTTTTAAGATTAATTTTAGTAAGCACAGTTTTATAAATCTTGTGATTATACTGACTGGTAAGAGCTCAGGAAACCACAGAAACTCTTTTTGACTGCTGAAGTATTTTTTGTTTAAAATGAATGTGGTCTTAACTGCCTGGAAAATATGATCAAAACCATAGGTCCTGTTCCTGCCATTGGCTTAAATGCAGTTAGGTCCCTGTGACCACATAGAGCTCAATTTCTTTCACTACTAATAATGAAAACAACAACAGAGTAAACAAGTAAATGCAAAAATTCCCTAAAACAGGCAAGTATTTGTGATTTTACTTCTCTGATTTATGAAACTGTAGATAAAATTACATCGGATGTCAAAATAAGATCAAGTAGTACTTTATGTATCCATAACCTGTAGTATTACTATAGCACTTTATGCTGTAGTAAGTAGTCATAGACTGTAAATCACAATTTAACTCTGTTTACCTTTATTGCGTTAAGAAATATCCCACAAGCAAAGTTAGAGGAAACCGAGACTGAGAATCTCGGTGCTCGGTATGTATAGAACTGAATTCCTGTTCTTTGCATCTGTGGTTCTTGCACCCTGAGTCGTAGACATCCAGGAGCCTGGTGTTAAAAAGAGTAATTAAGCAAAACCTCTTGTGTGGTGTTTTTTTTTTTAATTATTCTTGCACGACCACCCAAAGTCTGAGCTTTTTGTTTTTCTTTTTTCCCTTTTTAATATGATCTGCGTACCAATGAGATCGTTCAAATTGTGGCACTGATTTCATGTAGGCGATTTTGAAATTTAAGGTACTTCAATGTTTCATGCTTCTGAAACCGAAACCCATGGGAGGGACGGTGGTGGCTGCTGTTGATTTTTAAATAGACATTTCATTGCCTACCTGCTATGGTCGCTTTCTTCACTGTGGGGGAGAGGAGAGGTGACAGGGACTGGTATGTAACTTTTTAACTTTGAATTTTGTGGTGGTTTTTGGTTTGTTTTGGGGGTTTTTTTTTAAGATTAGTTGGATTATTCTAAGACATAGTTGTGTCAGTGAATGTCATTTTCAAGGGTTGGTGTTTTTAAAGTTTCAGTGAGAACCGTTGGCCATTTTACAGAGAGACTAGGGCATTAATGTGTCTTGTCCACGGTTACAGCTGTCAACATGTTCTTTAACAAGCTCTGGTAACTTCATGTTTTGCATTAGGATTTTGAAATTTGGCGGCTAGTCTTTGTGCTAGGGCTCTGCTACTGATAATTCGACTGAATTCAACCGAATTATAAATTTCCAGAGGAAGGGGAGTTTCCGTCTGTGCTGCAGATACATAGCCGGAGGTGGCCCGATGTCCATGGTGATTGAATATTCTCATTTTGCTTTCCCCAGAGCCAGCTAGGCACGTATCGCTTGAGATCTGTAGGGACAAGCTGGAGTTGTAACTGCTGCGTCCAGCTCCTGTGGGGTGCGACCGTGCTCCCAGAGATGCTTCTATCGCTGCTTGGCGGTGGTTGAAGCCACCTGGTTTGATGCAGAGGAAATGAAGAACGTGTACAGGAACAGGAGCCTGAGGTGACAATGATTAGGAGGAATCGGAAAGAAGCTGTGGCTGGCTGCACGAGGAACGTGGGATGGGTGCAATGGGGGAGAGAGATACGAATTAAACAAGAAAGAGGTAAGATTTGGGATTGCTGAGCAGAGAAATGAGAAAAGAGGCAGGCTAGGAGCAGAGTGACAGAGTGCTGGAGCAGATGAAGTCAGACTTCTTTTTGATGGGAGACGGGAATGGGCAAGGTGTGGGTGGGGGGAGTGGAAGCTGGGAAGAGAAGGATCTAAGAAGGAGAGGGGCTTGGGAGGGCAAGGAACTGGGTATGGGCTACAGGGAGGGAAAATGGGAAGGATGAAGGCTTGTGCATCGCACAGGGAGCTGTAGGTGGATGAGGAAGATGTGACTGGAGACGTAGGAGGGCTCAAGGTCCTACTTGAGGTTATCTAACTTGTTCCAGTCCCGTTCCTCTTGTCCCATGGGGCCAGCCTTTGTGAGAGAGCCCATGATGGGACCTGAGACTCCAGAGTTCCGTCACAGTGTGAAT